AAAGGAAAAGAAAATGTAAAAAAAAATTTTTATATTATTTGACAGTTAATCAAATATTAGGAAAAAACCCCTAAAAAATTGTATGGGTAGTCGTAATACAATTAAATAAATTTTTGGAATAGCGTTAACTTTATTAGTGATGTAATGAAGTTTAATATAAATTATAGTTTATGTAAATAAAAACAATCGAAATTTAATTCATTTCATTTCCATATTTAGCAAATTTTACAATATATCATTATTATGAGGTATGATGTAATTGATCTTCATTTTCATATGTAATGAATGAATGCCACGGATGAATTGGGTAAATTTAATCAAATGATTTATTTTTCCTCTTTATTTTTGATAAAAGGCTCACTTGAAATGAATAAATTCGTTTGTTCTATAGGTGCAAGACACTTGTCCCTACAACTTTCTGCGCCACAACGGCAGTTTTTGAGAAATAAAATTTTTATTGTCACGTGTTTTGTAGATGCAGTATTTTATCCAGATTAATATATACATATAGATAATTAAAGATGACACAAGTATGTAAGTATGTAACAATAATATAATATTAGAAAAAAGGGAAAGACAAGAGATGATAATTATCAATTTGTTCATAATATGTAAAAAAGTAAGAGGTTGGAATTATAAAAGTTTGCCTAAATTACTAAATTTCGGCAATAGTTTCGGCAAATTAAAAAATTTAGTTTCGGTTTTTCAAGCAAGCAAACAAAATGCCGAAACTAAAACTAAAATCTATGTGCAAGCCTTTTTTTGTGTAACAAATGATTCATAAAGCATATAATGATAATATCACTTTACCAATAATTAATGCCAGTATTTACATTAATAATTATATATTAACATTAACAATTTAATAATGAATAATTAAACCCGTCTATTAAATAACCTTTCCACGAAAATAATTTGGATTTATTACCATGTGATATATATATCACTTGTGCGTGGGATATTTTTATAGTAAAAATTTATTACTTTGAAAATTTTTTTAAAATAATGGTACCTGATAAAGAAACATCAAATACTTTAGATAATTATTTTCAACAAGAAAATGATGATATATATGAAATTTCATCAATTACACCAGAATTGTCAAATAACAAAAGAAAACATGCTGTCAGAAGTTTGGACCTTTTTTACAAAAGGAGATGAAAAAACCAGAGGCCATTATGAAGCAATTTGTAAATATTGTCATCAGAGATGGGATAGAGCTTATCCTAGTAGATTGGAAATTCATCTAGCAAATTAATGTATTGAAGTTGAGCATGAAGTTAGAAAAAAATTTTTGGAAATTGTAACAAGAAAAAATAATGTAATTGAACTAGATGATAATAAAACAAAAAAATCAAAAAATTCTAATACACAAAAAAGCATGGAAGAGTATTTTGATAATATGAAACTTTCTGAACAAAAAAAAATCTAATTGATAAGTCTTTAGCAAAATTTGTTTCCTGTTGTGGTATACAACTTGGTGTTGTAGAAAATCCTTTCTCCATTGATTTTGTTAAAAACCTTAAACCATCCTATGATTTACCATCAAGAATTAAATTAAAAGATACTTTGATTGAAGAAGTTGCTATCATTAATGTAAAAATCACAAATGAATTGGAAAAACTAACAACTTAGCACTTAGTGAGTAATTGATAACTGAATTTTGGCTTAATTTCAAATTATAATTTATTTATATAGTGGATTTTTGAATACATAGTTTTATTTATTTATATGATTACAATTATATTTTTAAAGCCATAGATGATTAGACAAACCCATTAGGAAAATCAATTTATAACTTTGTTATTCAAACACCTACAAAAAAAGAATATCTATGGAAGTTAAATGATTATTCACTGGAATCCCATACAGGAAACTTTTTAGCTGAACAGATTGATCAAGTTATTCAACAAATTGGAAATAAAAGATTTGGTGCTATTGTTACTGATGGGCTGCTAACATTAAACTTGCCAGAGAAATTATAACCACCAAATATCCTCATATTATGAATCTCAGGTGCAATTAACCTACTTACAAAAGATATAGCAGATAGCAAAATAAAATTTCCTTGGGGATATAATATATTAAAAAATTGCCAAAAGATTGTTACTTTTTTTGAAAAATCACACCAATCCAATGCTTTATTATAAGAAGGGATTAAGAATTTAAATATTCTAGGCGGTGGATTAAAATCAGGATGTAAATCTAGGTGGTCAACTTATTATGATTGTACTTCATCCATTTTAAGATTGGAAAGTTGTTTTAATTGGGTAATATATAAATTTTTTGACCAACTCTATTTAGCAGCTTGGCCATTTGGATGTAATGGCAAACAATGGACCATATGAAGAGATTAATGGTGTTCATATGATATCTTACTTCATTAAATAATACAAAAATTAACTCTTTTAAGTTCAACTTTGCATTCTATTTAGATTTGGTAGGTACAAGTCTTGGAGCAACCACAACATCAAGAGCAATAGATTGTAAAAAGAAGCAAGTCTAAATATTTTATCACTTGATAATAATATATTTATTAACTTACTATTGCAGCAAGAAATTACAATTGAGATTGATTCTGACTTAGAAACTGAATGCTTAATGACAAAATTATTGCAGCAGCTCAAGAAGCACCTGAAGAAGAAGAAAATACGGGCCTACCAATATCTAATAAAATTGCTTTAGAAAGCATTCAATATATATATAATTACTTGCAACAGAATAGTGATATACAGTCAAGCCAGGTGAACAGAAAATTTTATTTAAAATCTGTTGTGGTAAGATTACTAATCTTGTCATAATGGATTTTTATATGTTTTTATATTTATATTGATATGTGAAGCAAAAATTTTAAAACCATTATGACAAGAATTTAACTATTGTCCACTGTGGCAAGTCTGCTGTGATGAGGTTTGACTGTACAAGTAAATAATCAGGATTAAAAGATTTAAAATGAAAAATAGATAGAAAAAAATTAATTCTTTAACACAAACTAGTGTGAATATTTATTTAGATAAAGAATAGTGGTTTTTTTTGTAAAGTTGCATATTTCAATAAGTTGGATTTCTTGATAAGTAAGGCTACCATGCCCAGCCATTCATGTCCAACTCATTGAGTTTATCTATGTACTAAGGAGTTGATCACAGCCAGAAATATTATTATCAGGAATGGAATTTTTTAGCTTTAATAACATCTAAAAATTTTGACAAAATGTGATTTTTTTAATATAATGAACGTGCATTTTTCTATTTAAGTAAGATGCAAGTCTTAAAGAAATATAATTAAAACAATTTACTTATAATTTTGGTGACTTGGCCGAGTTGGTCTAAGGCGCCGCACTCAAGTTGCGGTCTCGAAAGAGGCGTGAGTTCGAATCTCACAGTCACCATCATTTCATAAGTATTTTTTTTTGTAACAATTTTTTTTTGTTATAAAAGAAATTGAATATGGTTTTAGCAGATCTTGGTCGACGAATTAATGCTGCTATAGCAAAAATTAATAAAGAACCTATCATTGATGCTAAAGTATTTAGCCTTTTTTATTTTATTTTTTACATTTAAATAAATTTATAAATAAAATTCATAAATATTAAAGATTCTGTTCACTGAAAGGTTCTTGATGCATTGTTAAAAGAAATATGTCATGCACTTTTAGAAGCCGATATAAACATTCGTTTGGTAGGTAATTTAAGGAATAATGTTAAAGACAATGTCAACATTCAAGAAGTACCTGCTGGAATAAATAAAAGGAAATTAATACAAAAGGTAAAGTATTTTTTTTCCTCTTAATTTTTCGATTCATTTTATCTAATTATAATTTTTGTTAGGCAGTGATTGATGAACTCTGTAAACTAGTTGATCCAGGTGTAGAACCATATAAACCTAAAAAAGGAACTACAAATATAATTATGTTTGTTGGTTTACAAGGAAGTGGTAAAACCACAACATGTACAAAAGTATGTAGAAATCATCTGACTCATATATAATAAATAGTCAACTAAATGTTTATTTATTTTAACTAAATATTATAAATTGATTAAATTCAACAATAAGTTGGCATATTATTATCAGCGTAAAGGATGGAAAGTATGTTTAGTTTGTGCTGACACTTTTCGTGCTGGTGCATTTGATCAATTAAAACAAAATGCTACTAAGGCAAAGATACCATATTACGGAAGGCAAAATCTTATTCCATTTTTAATATTTATTATTGGTCTTTTTCCAAAACATTTTTTAATATAATTACAAAATCATTATCATATAATAGTTATACTGAAACAGACCCTGTCCAAATTGCTCATGAGGGTGTCGAAAAATTTAAAAAAGAAGGTTTTGAAATAATTATAGTAGATACATCTGGTAGACATAAACAGGAGGCTGAATTATTTGAGGAAATGAGACAAATATCTGTTGTTGTGGTAACTAATATTTTTATTACATTATATTGTAATATAATTAATTTAAAATATTTATAATATATGTGCATGTATATTTATAGAACCCAAATAATACAATTTTTGTAATGGATGGAACAATCGGACAAGCCGCTGAAGCTCAAGCTAAAGCTTTCCACGAAACAGTAGATATTGGTTCAATTATTATTACAAAAATGGATGGCCATGCAAAAGGTGGTGGTGCTATATCTGCGTATGTGTATATTATTTTATATTGTATGCTGTTCACTTATGTACATGGATATATTACTTTTTAAATATTAAATTTAATTATTGATAATAGTGTTGCAGCTACTCATAGCCCAGTTATTTTCATTGGTACTGGTGAACATATTCACGATTTAGAAAGATTTTCTGCACGACCATTTATACAAAAAATGTTGGGTAATTACATAATATATATATATATATAAAATATAAAATATAATAATTAATATATGCATTATTTTGTTAGGTATGGGTGATATATCTGCTTTAGTTGAAACAGTTCAAGACTTGAAATTAGATCAAAATAAAAATTTAATTAAAAACTTAGAACAAGGTAAATTTTGAATTTAAATTGAAATAAAATAGTTTAGTAATTAACTATTAACTATTATTGTTTTAAAATTAGGTATATTTACAATTAGAGATATGTATGAACAATTTCAAAATATATCCAAGATGGGTCCTTTATCTAAAATGATGCAAATGGTGCCTGGTATGTCTGAAATGAATCTCGAAGGCTCTGATGAACTTGGGGCTCAAAGAATAAAAAGGTATCAGAAAAATTTTTTTTTATAACAAGAAAGGATATTTATGTCAAGAATACTTGGTCAGCTTGTTTACTAAATTCATAATTAATTAATAAATAATAAAAAGATTAATGACAATTATGGATAGTATGAGTGAAACGGAATTAGATTCTGATGGCAAAATATTTACACAACAACCTTCACGTATCATACGTATTGCAAAAGGCTCTGGTACCTCAGTAAGAGAAGTAGAGGAATTATTAGTTCAACATAAAGGTTTCCAAGGAATGGTTAAAAAATTTGGAGGAAACAAAGGTTTATTTAAAGGTGCTTTTTTATGTATAATCATTTAATCATTTATTATTCAAGTAAAATTATTTTTTTATTTCAAATTTTCCTTTTTTTAAAAAAGGAATGGGCCAAGGAATGGGCCCAGGAATGGATCCTTCAAAAATGTCACCACAACAAATTCAACAAAAAATGGCACAAATGCAAAGGGTAAGAAAATTTGTATTAAACAGATGTGCATTTTTCTTATCTAACTAATATTTATACATTTTTGATGTTTAAAGATGCTTCCACGTGGTATGGCTGGCATGAATATGAACAATTTAATGCGACAGATGGTAAATAATATTTATAATAATATTGTAATATGTTTAAATGATAAATATATTTATATTTATATTTATGTTTAGGGATTAAATTCTAAATTTGGATTATAACAAATATATTAGAAACTTTTATGTTTGTTTATAAAATATTTATTAATAAAATTCTGGGACTCTTCATATTATTTTACCATTATTAAAGGTTATATGATATAATATTTATATTTGTGCGATTAACCTGAAGTAGGGGTCGGAGAAGAATGTGATTTATAATGATTATTTTTGGTTTTTGTAAATGGACTTGTAATTTCATCTGAATTGTCTTTATTATTGTTGTTGATTCTGTTTTTGTTGTGAATACATACTCTTTTCTTTAAACTTAATTGTCTCAATAAACCATTGAATTTACTTTTATTATTATTATCATTCTTGTTGCCATCTTTTAACAAACGAATTCTTCTATTTTGTAATAAAATTGAACTGTGTCTTAATAATAGTATTGTTGATGTTAAAATTGTCTTCTTATGACATTATTGAAAGCAAGCGTCTCAATATAGATCTATGTCTATTTCTTTTTCTACTACCTAGCCTAAAACCTTACTACTAAAAATGTTAGTGTCGTTGCTGTTGTTATTATTGTTATAATTGGGTCATCAACTTCTTAATACAATGTTATAAATAGCAAATTGATTAAAAGTCCCTAGAATAGAATCAAAACCTTAAAGTAGCAAACTAAGATTATCATCATTACTATTACCACTTTCAATTAATATTTCTCTCAGTGATGTCCTTTGAATTTTTCTAGCTCCTCGGGCTCTAATTCAAGAATATTTATTTTAAACATACTGTCTAAAATCACTGGGGTTTTATCATTTTCTATTACATAACCTGTTTTTGCTGTTGCTTGCTCATCAGATCTATAAATTATATAAATTTTATAGAAATTAATCTTTGTTTTTTTAATGTTAAAATCAATATGCAAAATAAATATATCTAAAGTATTAATAGACTCAACAATGCTGGTACTACAGCATTAGGGTTGTGTTGGTCCGGACCGGTCTCGATCCCAAAAACTACATCCAAAGACTGGTCTTTTTTTGGAAAACCGAAGGACCGGTCTTTAGATGCAGTCTTTGGACAGACCATCCATAATTACTGGCATCATACTAAAATTCTTCCAGAAGAATTGATATTAACTCAACAATCCTCTCATAAAACATTAATGATCCAATGGTAGACCAGCCTTCTCAGGCAGTTAGTGCTCTTAATATTAAATAATCCGGAAGAAGAATTTTGTATTTGAAGTTCCTGATGAAGTAGTTGCAAAAATGTTTAAGCAGTATTTGCGAGCAATTATACTTACAATTAGAAATGAATGCTGATTATTATGCCAACAAATAATAAATGATAATAGATCTTGTCATAATTAACATGTCATACTAATATAAACATTAACCCGAGTTATAATTGTTACAGGTCCAATCTTTTATTTTATACACTTGCCTCCGCCGATCACATGCAATAAACAGATCGTCAATTAAAAAAACCAGATCTAAAAAAATGTTTTATATAATTGGATTGGGATTATCAGACGAAACTGATATCACCATTAAAGGTCTTGAAGCAATTAAATCATGTGAAAGGATATACTTAGAAGCATACACTAGTGTTTTAATGGTTTCAAAAGAAAAATTGGTATAATCAATATACATATTATCATACATATTATTATGCACATTTATCAAAATTTTTAAATTTTTAAATTTTCAATATAAAGGAAGAATTTTATGATAAGAAATTAATCCTTGCTGATAGGGAAATGGTAGAATCTCAAAGTGATAAAATTTTATCTAAAGCTGATAAAATAAATGTAGCATTTTTAGTTGTAGGAGATCCATTTGGGTAAGTGTTGACCACATTACAAGAATAATAAATCTATAAAATTAAATATTTGATTTCATATATATCAGTGCTACAACTCATACCGATTTAATTTTGCGTGCACGAGAGCTTAAGATTCCTGTTAAAATTATACATAATGCATCAATAATGAATGCAATTGGGGCATGTGGATTACAACTTTATAATTTTGGTCAAACAGTTTCAATCCCTTTTTTTACTGAATCTTGGCATCCTGATAGTTTTTATGAACGCATTAAAGAAAATCGATCTTTAGGATTACATACTTTATGTTTGTTAGGTAATAAATCAATCAATCAATAAAATATATATATAAGTATATTTTAATCAATAAATATTGAAATATTATTTTTAAAGATATTAAGGTGAAAGAACAAAGTGATGAAAATTTAGTAAGGTGAATCAATTTTAATTAATAGGAGAATTATTTATTATTATTATTATTATTATTATTATTATTATTATTATTATTATTATTATTATTATTATTATTATTATTATTATTAAATTCTAAAATTATTTTCAACATTAGAGGTAATAAAATTTATGAACCACCACGTTATATGACAGTGAACCAAGCAATTCAACAATTATTAGAAATTGAAGAAATTCGACAAGAGAAAGGTAATAAGTCTAATTTATAATAATTATAATAATTTTCGACATAAAAATTTCTAATTATAAATGCATATACATCAATTAGCTTATACAGGTGGAACAATAGGTATAGGAATTGCTTGTCTTGGTTCAATCACTGAACAAAAAATTATAGGAGGTACATTAATTCAATTGCTTGAGGAGGACTTTGGGCCTCCGTTACATTCGCTTGTTATAGTAGGGAGTAAACTACATATACTAGAGGCTGATTATATGAGATATTTTGTTAAAGATAAAAAAAATTTTGATGAAATTGTAAAAAATCAAACTATTTAAATATGAATCAGAATCATCCATTAATTTATTAATTTAGATTTGATTTTAATTTAAATTTTTTTATCTATTAAATTGTTCAACTTTCTCTAGCCCAGTAATAATTTCATTATTTTTAAGTAGTTTCAAAACCAATTTTGTAGAATTCAGCACACAATCATTCAAACTAACACCCCAATAACTAGCACCACCAACACTTAATCTATTTTTTAATTTAGATTTTATCTCATAATGTAATTCTTTCATTCTATCATAGTGACCTACATAATATTGTGGTATGCAATTTCTTGCTAATTTAACTGAGTAATCAGCAGGTGTGTTGTAAATACCTAAATGATTTTCTAAAATTTCCAATGATTGATTTAATAATTCCTCCTCACTAAAAAGCTTTTGTTGATTATCAAAGTTATCATTATAATAATGACCACCCATCATTACAGTCAATTTTGTAAAGTTGTTGAATAGTTCATCCTGATATGGCATTGTGCATGAATCAAAAACCACCCCTAATACATTATGGAGATTGTTTTGTGTTGATTTTGGTATTAAATATCCAAATCCTTTTACAGGTAAAATATTAGGTTGATCATATGAAAAATTTACTATGGCTACTGATACTGATGGGTTATATTTAAGTTGCGAAAATTTATAGTCTTTTGGAAGTATATCATAAAGAATATTTGATGGAATGGTGCTAATAACA